TGATATGTTCATTGTTGCTAGACAATGTTTACACCAAGTCGAGGACTTTTCAGCTTCTCATAGTGCCCCACTAGCAAGTAGGCTGGGGATACACAAGAAGCTCGGAGGGGACATGGCCAGGACAGCTGACCCAAACTGGCCAAAGGGATATTCCATACCATATGATATCATGCTTCGTATATAACTTGGAGGAAGCTGGCTCAGGGCTGGACCACAGCTCGGGAACTAGATGGGCATCAGTAGTTTGTGGGTAGTGAACAATTGTGCTGTGCATCACTTGCTTTGTATATTCTTTTATTATTGTTATTATTATTATTCTCTCCCTTTTCTGTCCTGTTAAACTGTCTTTATCTCAACCCACGAGTTTTACTTTTTTTTTTTCCTTCCGATTCTCTCCCCTGTCCCACTGGGGCCGGGGGGGAGGTGTAAGCAAACAGCTGTGTGGTTGTTTTAGCTGCCTGCTGGGTTAAACCACGACATTACTGCTGGCATTTCTAGCTTTTCCAGCATCATTCACCAAAGTGTTCTGGTTTTCAGGATAGTTAGTAGGCTGACTGCAGGTTGTTTGTTTCTCCATCTCCATCCTCTGCACGGCATGCAGATGCTGTATTACAGTAATTCTTTCCCAGATATTGAAATATCTTGGTTTAATTTTCATTATTTTTTTACCTTTTCTAAATCCTGTTCTTAAAAAAAAAAATTTTAAAACCCCATTGTTCATCCCTTTGGCATTTTAGCTTGTTTGGTGCATGCAGTCAAACATGTTGCAAATAGACCTGCCTCTATTGTGTGTCACACTGTCTATCAGAATGTTTTTCAGCTAAAGCTCTGCAAAGAAGTAATATAATATAAAAGGCAGTTTGCAGCAGTGAAGCTAACTGATGGTCCTAGCAGAGAACATTGGGTTTAGAAGGGTGGAGAGAAGCATGAACAAGATTATGAAAGGGTAAGGGCAGAGCAAGGGCTTGAGATAAGGCTTACAGAGCAAAGAATTGGAATAATATGTTTCAAATCCCAAGACTTGAAGAGAATAGAAATAGTGCAGCATGAACAGGAGGATAAATGACAACCATCAAATTAACAAAGGAAGCAACATGACAGTAAGATAAGAAAGAGTACTAATGCTCTCTGTATAAAAGTGAAACTTTTCAGTTGACATTGATGAGTTAGGAGTGGAAATCAGGTTAGACTAAAAGGACAGAGGGCAAGGGTGATGTGAATTCAAAGGCAAAAATACTGGTTTGTTTTTAACATGTCACAGTTTGAGGATACCTGTAATAATTATTTGCCTTAGTCATCTATTCCCAAATATGCCAGTTGCTCAGGGAAGAGAACTGTTACTTGGCATGAAAGCTGTAAACCAGTGAAGCAGAAACTAATATGCAGTGTTTATAGTTGCCGGGTGTAGTAAATCGCACAACTCCTGAAGGAATTAAACTCACGAGTTTTGGATAACCGTTATTAAAGAAAAGTCTAACACATTCTGATAAATGAATTCTAAACAAATAATTCATGACTAAAGATTTTTATCCTGGTTTCTTGGGGAAGCAAGGTTCATAGGAGTGTGCTGTTTGTTTTGCTTGTCAGTCTTTTTCTCTAGTAGTAACTTTTGAAACTGATAGCCAGTTTAAAATCTATTGGAAAGAAGCAGAAGGTCAAAAATACCTTCCAATAGGCTTTAAAATTGGTGGCTGGAGGACAGACCAAATTGGTATGCTTGAGGCAAGTAGAACATTAACATTATATATTAATTTTAGCAACAGCCAGGTCAATAATCCATACATCCTTCCCAGCTTCTGGCACAGCATTGCTGTCTCTTGCTCTGTATCCTGAGGAACGTGGGAAGAGCAGAACCCAGGGTGTGGGAGGAGGCTTAGGGATAGATGATGCAGCTCCTGAACAATGAACCAGGCTGTATTATTTTCTTGTTTCTGATCGTATGTTTTTTACAATATAATTTTCTGCTTTTACCTGAGAATCCCTGAAGAGCATAGGTTTTATTTTATCTATACCATTAAGCAAGCCCAAGGGACTGAAAAATTTCTGTCCCTTTTTTAATGTTCGATAGATTTGAGAGCTGAAGATACGCTTTTATCTTTAATGAAACTGCATGCTACTTGAACTATTATCACTTTGAATGTTTCCAGGGTTTAATTAGCAATACATGAGCATTGCTCTGAAACACAAAGTCTTACTTCTGTTTGCTATTTACGGATTCATGGCTTATGTGCTATAAATCTCTTCTGTGTACATTTAATGCATACATTGTGAGCATTATTTTAACCTTAATTCTTTGTTGTCTCCTTATTTTCTAAAAATATACTAAGAGATACACTAAAATACAATATTAAATCCATACTCTTCAATAAATCAGTTAGCAGGTGGGATTTTTCAGTGGCGTTGATACACATATCTCAAGTACCCTAAGTACCATCATTACAAAATCCCTTAGTAGAGGCTCAGGCTTTAAATTTGAAGATCCCTTGTTATCTAGTCCTAAAAAATTCCAACTAGAAAATGGTAACTCTTGCCAAACCAGAAAGGATACAGTAATTTTGTGAAAGACACTATTTTAGTTAAATCTCAGCTGCTAGCATTAATAACTACAAAAAAATTAAAAATTTTCCTTGTTTCACTATGCCTAAAAATCTTGAAGGACATAGAAGAGAGCTTAAAAAAGAACAATTCTAATCATGTTTGTGAGTAAATGTGTACATTTAGTGTGTTCTTTGAGGGAGGGAGCATTGAAAAACTACTCTGGATTGTTTAGTTCGCTTGCTCAACAAAGGCAAATTAGCAAGTATACTCAATGTTACACTCTGAAAATACAGATCTATAAAATATGTATCCATCCTTATAAAAAGAAGTAAAAATTATTGGGGACTTTAATGAAAAATGTGCTGGGTTTTAGCATTGTTTAAACCTTGAGTAATGATTTGAAGCAGTTGTACCTTTTTGGAACATGGATTCTGTCAAGGCAGAACTATCCAGATATTGCAAACTTTGTTTCTGTCATAATAGTTTTAGTAAATACTGTGGAAGATCTTTCAAAACTGTAAATGTCGAGATTATTTTTAGGAAGAGGAGTCATTGTTTTGTTTGGAAGGGTGTACATTTCCAGTTTATGGTAGTCTGATTTTAATTCATGTATCCCCAAAGCACATGTAGGTGCCTGCATTACGTTATCCTTTCGTATCATCTTAATTGTTCAGAAACCTATTTTTATCTCACCTTCATTGACATTTCATCTTTATAGATTCTTTGGTTTATGCATTTATGAATGATTTTAATCTCACAGATTTTCAAAGCTATATGTGTGCAATTTATTAATTCTCTTTCTTTAATATGAGGAGTTTACTTTGTATCTCTGCAGATTTGATTCTGAACATGACATGCCTGTCTTGTAGTTATCTTTTTCTATTTGTTTTGGGATTACATGCTAAAGCGAGATGATTAACAGCAAAGATTCATTGAAGTTTTATTGTTATGACTGTGCGTAGGAGATTGTCTGATATTGGGCAGATGATAACTGAACAGATCAAACTCCTTAGCTGTAAGAGGCTGGTAAATAGGCATTACATTAACTGGCAGGGCAGTTTGACCATCTGATCAGGCAGACAAGCTGTAACTGTAAATTAATGTTTTTTATAGCAAAAGTTTTCAGCCTGACTCACTGTCCGCTTACCTCACCCAAAATTTTGTCAGTACTGAATTTACAGGAGACAGTGTTGAAAACCATATTAAGGTAAAGGATGCTCACTGCTTTCCCCTCATCCATTCAGCTGGTCATCTCACTGTAGAAAGCCATCAGGTTGGTTAAATATGGTTTCACCTTAATAAATCTATGCTGACTACTACTGGATTGCCTTCCTACCTTCGTGTGTTTGGAAGTGATTTCCAGGAGGATTCATCCTATGCAAACTTGTAAATGATGGGCGGGTATTTTATTCATATGTGTGTGTGTGTGTATACACGCATGAGCTGTCTAGAGAAATAAACTAGATTGTTAATAACGTGATGGTCTGCTTTTGAGTGGTTTAAGACATGGTAGTTATTCTTACACATACAAATTTGGGTCAGAGTATCCTTTTGTCAGTCAAAAATACTCATTTACAAAGAGATACTGAATATTAATGTTGTAGGGATATGCATCTAAATAAAAAAATAAATTATAGTAATATTTTATGTATATTACTTTTTCTTTGAAAGAACTCCAATACATTTGTATATATAAATGATAAGTTAGTAGTGTTTTATGAAATAATATCATGTTTACTTGATAGAGCAGTATGTTTCACATAATAGGTATACATTTCCATTTCAGGGAACAAAGAAAAAGAGGTTGGGGTTTTTTAATAGAAAAGACCATAGCAAAAAAAAAAAATTACTAATGTAATTCTCACTTAAGTTCACATCACTCCTCCTGTGGTTCAGGAGAAATGCCTTGGTTACAGCTTGTTAAACAACAATATGAAAGTGAATTGTTTGAATTTGAAAATATAGTTTATCTTCTGTCGGTTAGCATTTAATCAAGTTTATTTCTGATAACTATTGACAGAAAGCTCCAGTATAGCTCTTAGCTTGCTTATGTGTTTGAGTTTCAATGAATTTGTTTGTTCATTTGTCTACCTGTGACAAACAGAATTACTGTATGTGCAGGGTGGTCACCCACTTTCTATGAAAGCAGATGGGCATGACGACAGCTAATGCTGAAAAGCTGCCTCCTGGGGAATTCAGACTTTTGGAGGAGTTTGTTCACATGACGGTTTCCTGTAGTGCTAATCTTTTGAGAAAGGAAAGTTTCTAGGTGATGGATGGGGGTTCCTCATAGATCTCATATGTATGTAATTAATAAAGTTTTAAACTCTCTTAAATTTTTAATTTGACTTTTTTCTTTTAAAATTTTAATATGTAAATGCATTTCTATTTAAGGCAATTGTTTGGGGTAAAAAAGACGGAGACACATTTTAAAGATTAAATTTACTGTTATTTCTCTTTAGTTTCAGGCACTGCATGCTGTATCACACACGCTGGTTTTGCTAGCAAGGAACAACATACTAAGAAATTCTTTAATATCTCTTCTACTATCAGAAGTACGTCAGTTTGCTGAGCAGCTATTGCAAGCTTACCAGGTACTGTCATCTTTTCTTCTGGAGAAGGGCCGAAGAGTGGTGTTGGGGAGTGTTTTGTCTTTATCTGTTTCATAAAATGTAATAAATGGATCATTCTATAGAATATGCAGGTTTAAGAACCCAGAACATGCTAGCATCTAACTTTAACAGCAGATTAAAAAAAAGAGATACCAAGTAAAAGAAAATTTCCTTATGGACAAAAGTAAAATTGTCAGACTATATAATAAATAGAGTGTGTAGGGTTTAAGATCATGCTATATAATTTGGAAAATATTTGAAATAATTAGTTAAAACAGTTATTGCAACGTGAAAATTGTTGGCTATGCAGACAATACAACTTAGGTATCCAGCCAGACCCACAAAGTATTATGTCTATCTCTAGCTCATGTAAAACTGGAAAGAAAGTTGCATCATTTTATTTCGGAATTATATTTCATGTTTCATGTTATAATACTAATTTTCATGATGCAAAAGTTACCCAACACTTAAAATTATATTTAGTTTGTTACATTGAGTAGGAGATGAAGGACAGAATAGAATGGGGATAATATTTTTCGTAAATTTTATTCTTAGGTTAATTTTTTCCCAGTAAACTATAGAGTTTAAAAAAAGAGAGAAAGACAGTAAGTGGATGTTCCTTTAACATTTGGAGAAGAGATGTATGAAATAAATCGTGTTGTCATAGATTTCTGATGTATTTGAGTGTGGTGATATTTATTTAATGCAAACTGTTCTGTTTCACTTCAGATTATGATGTGATTGTATGCTATCCTAGAAGGGTCAATAAAAAGAAAGCATGCAGCTTTTTATTTGATGGCAATAAATATATTGATATATATAGAAAACATTCATTATACATATATCTAGTGGTGGTCCAGTTCAACAGTGTTTTAAGTGTTGCTCAAGCAGTCTTAATTTTTTCTTTTTTTCTGTCTAGGATACGATATGGGAGTAAGTTCTGACTGCTAGAAAGGGAACATGTCATTTCCAACCCAAATTTCTAGTGTGTTTGAATTATATTCTGAAAAGGCTTCAGAAAGGCCAGTTTTGAAAGAATTGGACAATGCACTGTGTCTTCTGTTAAGTCACTAGTAGCATACCGGAGTTATTGATGGCAGCCAAAAGTGAACAGACTTTAAATAAATATAAGGGTAGGGAAGCATGTAATTAAAAAAAAAAAGTTTTGTTTTTTGAGTTTAAACAAGTTGTTCATCTTTAACATTATTAAATCTCACCTGTTTAACAGAATTAGTCATCCCTCCTTTCAGCAAAGATTTTGCCAGTGGCAACACAGAACTCTCCAGTGCTCCACACTGATGAAAAGCTTACATTGAGCGTTGCACTTCGCTGAGTTAGTTACTATGGTACTATGTAACCTTGCCATACTGTAATTATTTTAAGTATTGCTTTCATATTTGGTACATAAAATTTATTTCTAAAACTTTCTAAAAGAAGTTTGACTCCTCTTTGGCTTCACTTTATGTTGAAAACAATCATATATTTGATTCTAATATCATAATAAGAGGGATTACAAACCACTGTAACTTGCAATTGAGGAAAGGGAAATAAATTAGTACCCTGTGATTTTAACCTTGAAAGATTCTCTTTTATTCCACAAGTGATTTTGATTTTTCTAATAACAAATTATTTTATTACTGGCAATGTAATTTATTTATTTATTTATGGGAAGATAGTGGAAGATTTGATTCATACATAAACATAGAGAAATTGATAATGTAATCCCTGAACAGTTCTGATATACTGCAGCTGGTATAATAAACTGCTTAAATGCCAGTCTCAGTAGGGTGGCTTGATACCCCTAGTTGATGGTACAGCAGTTTTCCTTTTTTTTTTTCACCTCTGGGAAAGCTATCTCTCTGCTTGATTGTTCCCTTCCCCCTAGCCCCGTCCAGAAATGGAAACCTGCAGCTGTATTTCCTGGAGCAACTGAAGAAAAAGATGTATCTAGAACTGAGGGGAAGGTGCCTGTGGAGTGGGAGACAATTTCTGCAGGGACACAGACTTGTACTCATTTATTGAAAAGAAAAACTAAAGATGTTTTTGATCTTGTAAATTTATTCTGTTTCTTCGTACTTAGTATATGTGGACTGAAATTTGGGACAGTGAAATGCATTCGTTACTTGACCTTTTCAGCTTCAGGACAAAATCCTTTTCCAGGTTCAGTCTTTGCTACTTGCAGCCCTCTGTCTCATTTTAATTACCTTGCATTTGTGCTTGCTGCAAATCTTAGCCATTATCAGTCCACACTACTGATTTTCAGACTTTCTACCACAAAGAGCCTAGAAATCCCTCCCACCTTTACAAGTGAGGAAATGCATGTTTATTTTTGTGTAATGGGAAACATAGAAAGATTTTTCTGACAAAACAATTTATAAGGTTCCCTTTCACCCTTTTTTTTTTTACACAGCCCTTTCTGTTCACCCAGAGAAATAATTTAATTCTCTCATATTCAAGAATTTAGAGCCCTGCTCTGCTGCTTCTTCCTCCTATAAGTCGTCAATCTGCCTTCTGCCACTGAAATGTGGTAGACCCTCTCTTTTCTTTTTTTTTTAAACTGTTACAGTAATTTATTTATTTATATTTTCCTCATCCAGCATTATAAGCATTTCTTGGAAGATTAATGTATCTTGGATCAAACAACAACGAACTGGTCTGGAATAGGACTTTCACATAATTTCACCAAAGCTTATGGGGCTTTCTTTTGAGTCCTTTTAAAACACTTTGCACTTAAATGAGCATCAGAAGAGTAAGTGAGCATCAGGCACTTCGATAGAGACTCCACTGACTAATTTTACAATGACAAAGTAGTCTTGACATGTTCACCCCCCAACACAGTGTTTGGACTTTTTCTGGGAATAGTGGAAGGTTCAAGGTGGCTGAATTTGAAGCCACAGGAGCTGTGGTCTATCTGTGGCTGATGCTTTGTAGGGCTGTAAGATTTTGAAAAGCTGCAGTTCATAAAGTTACTGAAGTTCTGATTTGCTTAGCTTGCTGTGAAATCAGTGTTGTTAAAGTTCATGCATTCTTGCATTTAGTCCAAATAGATGTATTGTGTTCATTTACAAACTCTTATATGTTCTGTATGTGATAATTATTTCTGGAAATACTGCTTAACAAAAACATTTCTACTTATCCCAATAGGACACTAAACTCTAGTATTTCTGACAGCCTGATTTACATATATGCTTCTGAATGTTTCTAACTTTGTGTAGCATTACTTTTGGTAGGCATGATTCTAAAAAGGATTAATTTTTTTTTTTCTTGTTTCATAATCAAACCTAACAGTATAGTATCAGTTTGAAATATACCAAATGACAGCTTTAAAAAAAAATCTTCATAAATACTTAAATTAGAATTTGCAGAAGGATAATACTTTATATAATCAAACTTCATTAGCTGACAACTATCCTAATCCTGTTTTGTTACTTAAGTAAAACTGCTGTTACTTTCATGTCTTCCACTTAAGACAATCAAGTTAGAGACTCTGAATTTTAGTTATGATTAAGGGTGTGCAAATACCTGTTTTCTTTTTGTTTTGCTGTTTCTTTCTTTTTTTGTTGTTGGCAGATAGGAGAAATAAAGAAATCATCTGAGACGTATTCAGGTTAGCTTGCAATTAACTTTTAAACACTTTGTGAAAAACAGAAATTGAAAAAATAGCTTATTCATCTGTCGTGGTTTAAATGCAGCCGGTAACTAAGCACCACGCAGCCGCTCGCTCATCCCTCGCTCCCCAAGGGGATGGGGAGAAGAATGGAAAAAACCCCTGCCTTGTGAGTTGAGATAAAGACAGTTTAATAGGGTAACAAAGGAAGATGATAATAGTAATAGTAATATAATAACATCAACAACAACAATAATAATATATATAAAACAAGTGATGCACAAATGGAATTGCTCACCATATGCAAAAGAAAAAAAAAACCACAAAACCCAAACAACCTGATGCCCAGTCTGTTTCTGAGCAGCGATCCCACCTCGCAGCTAGCTTCCGCAGTTATATGTGGAGCATGGCGTTATATGGTAGGGAATATCCCTTTGGCCAGTCTGGGTCAGCTGTCCTGGCTGTGCTCTCCCATCTTCATGTGCACCTGGCAGGGCATGGGAAGCCGAAAAGTCCTTGACTTAGTGTAGACACTACAACTACCTAGCAACAACTAAAAACATCAGGGTGTTCTCAACATTATTCTCATACTAAATCCAATACACAGCACTATACTGGCTACTGGAAAGAGAATTAACTCTATCTCAGCTGATAGCAGGACATCATGGAAGCAAATTTCTATGTTTTATTTTTGTATAATTCTTTTTTTTTTTTTAATGAAGATGTTTTCCAACGCTGACTTGGATTCATAAGAAAATTCCTTTTAATTTTTCTAAATGAATCGCCTAGGTATTTCAACATTTTTAACTTCCTCATTAAGACTTGAGCTAAGCTGCAAATAGTTTGTAAAGTGTTTGCATTCCGGAATATGCAACTTTATATTCAATCATTTCTTCAATAGGAAATATGCTCAGCTCAGGTTATGTAGGTTTGTGGATATGTCCTGTGATAAATATTGAAAATTTTTTACTTTAAAATTCTGACTGATTTTAGTGAGTTCATATCTGTGTCCTCTTGGAACAAGCTTATCTGTCTATGACCCACAGTTTTAAAGAGCTATCTGTGCCCCTAGCTTTGCAAATTAAAGAAATAGATTGACTATAGGAGAGTGTATCTAATGAACTACACCAGAAAAGTACAGAGATTACTCTGCATATTTTTATATTGTTCCCTAATTGGCCAAATCCATTAATCTTAGAATATGACAAATTAATGTGAAATATGTGAATAATAGAGTTCTGTTCAGTACTTTGGACCAATATTCCCACATGTTAATATAGACAATAGAGGTAACTGAGGAGCATGTAAAACAGTATAGTTATTCTGATTTTTCACCCAGTTAAGATGAATTTTGTGGTAGTAAACTCTCAAGCAA